TCAATACCGCGCGTAATAATCTCTGCAGTGCTTGCTTGACTCAATATATCTCGAGGCTGCTAGTACAAGACCCAACCGCTTGTTTTTTACGATGCCATATAATATATATAGAGTTCGCTATATATGTCTAAACTAGATATTATTTCTATGCCTATAAACAACGAGCGCAAAGATTTTTAGAGGCTCCGTCTAAATTGGCCATCTTCATTATACTATCGTCATAGTGAGCCAGTGCAGATTATAAAGGGCAATCGATAATCCAAGTTAACCACTGACAAACGAGGCGCATTCTACGGAGCAACCGACTTTTCGATATTAGTCTGATTAAATGAATTAAATCGGGGCCTTAAGAATTGAACCGCACGCTCATTATAGGCTCGATATATATAAAGGTTTCAAATCGATTAAAATCAGGTCGGAATGCATATTCACTGCAGAAATCTGCAGAATAAACAGAAAGTTTCCTAATAAAGACACAGGTAAAGATGGATAATCAAGCTCTTGGTTAAAGTCCAAAGCTCCGCAGCTTCGCATTACTTTCGCTTTCATACGTGCGATGGTTGTGCTATTTCAAAAACTACGTAAAGAAGTAATGTCATGAAATTACTGCCCGGCGATAAAGAAAACTATAAGATCGTGGCAAGGGAAACTCAACTGTATGCAGTAAACATTTAGGCGACACCGCACAGTCATTCACACAACCACAATTAAGTATTATGTTTGGCATTTGAATTGAACGGTTTTATCGGCCAGTATAGCACATAAGCAGAGAACTTTTTAGTTTGCACGGCCGATACATTCAATGTTGCACTTGTGCAGCATTGTATCTAGTTTACGGCTGCTCTTTCTGATGCTGAACTGAGCAAAGTAGGGCCGCTACAATGTATACATCGGTGTAATAGGCGAGAAAACAAGCACTCAAAATATCGCTACGACTCCTCAGTGTGGCTGCAAGCTGTACACTAGTGAATTAAAGCCAGCGTGCCTCGAAGCTTGTTTGGCACAGTGGTGTCGATGGTACGCACATATTAATATCCTAAGGCAGTATATGGTTTCTCAATGTGCATCTGATATGAATCATTGCCCGAGGCGATCGTAGTGTTCGTATATAATATTATATCCGTAATTTGTTGATGCAAGCCAGATGAGACACGGTATTTTTCATACAAATCCCATACAAAAATTCAGACTACAATCGCTCACAACGCAAAAAAATCTGCTGGAAGTCGATTGGCAGTTATTTGGCACACAAAGCGTGCGCACGAATAGGCGTTACGGCCACCGCTCATCAAATCCTGGATTCCCGCCACTGCATTGATCCCTACCTCTTCATTTGAGCTGCGGAGCTTTTTTTCGGTATCACACGCATACAAATGAACCGATATAACTTTCAGATTTTTGAAACCTATTTTTCCCCCTAACCGCAAGTTTCTTAGCTTGACAATGTGACTGTTACCTGCCAACTAGTACAGTGGCTGACAGTGATCACGACAAGCATGGCACGACCTACAAGGCTGCGCCTCTTACGTTGACGAGGCGAGCTAGCGGTTGGATGCCTGCAAACAACTATGTGAAGGTCGACCTCCTGACAAGTGCAAGATTTCTTACTCTATAGTGTGAATCCACTCAACTGAATGTCAATCATGCTCACTTGCAGCTGCAAGCTTTTTTTGTAAGTTAGAGAAGGCAGCCAGCCGTCATTCGTTTATTGCGATAACATTAACGTAGTAAAAAAATGAGGAACCAATTAAGAAGCCAGAATCTTGCTTATTATCATGAGCATTACAGATTTACTCACACTGTTTTTTATTTTGTTCATATTTGAAGTTGAGAAAAAAGAACCTCATTCCTTGAATATCTATGCCACGATGACCACACATAACGTGGCTTCCATTTATTATAAATCCATACTGCTTTACTGGGTAACAATGGAAAATGACACAGATCTGATTTGAGAAAAGCTGAAATAAAAACGTTCTTGTACAAGATTATGGTTGAGGGTATTTTATAAATTCCCCAGATATTTTCAAATCACAAGAGCAGTGCCATTTTTCAATAAATACAGCGTTGTTGTTTTGTTCAAGATGTATATTAGGGGCATTACTCACGATAAGAATACACAGTAAAACATAGCAACTATTCTGACGATGCCTGATCGTAATACAGTTGCTTTCTGAATATTGCTTATTTAAGTTTGTTAGCAATTTTGTTTGTCCAAGACTATAAATATACTGATTTAGTTAAATTGCCAATTTAAGAGTACACATTTTAACTGTGACGCGTTGTTCAGCCCTATATCCATTATTAAACCTTACATCGGCCTTCTCGCGAATAAACTGTTAAACACATTGCATTAGCGACTATGAAACTTACAACTGCAGAATTACCTCAAGTAGTATATACGACAAGCATGGAGATAAATTTTTGGCAAATGTGCTAATGGAAGTAGACAACTGTATGTGAAGACCAGTGACAGAACATTCAATATTAGATGTGAAAGAGATATAAACTACCAGCAACTGCATTCAACACGGCCCATTGTTTTCCCTCACAAGGGGTAGAAACCTTAACGTTGGCCTTTGATGGATTAGAAGCTCTCAATCCATCTGGTTGTTGAGTGTTTC